GTCAGCGCGTGAACCACGGGAGGTCCAACCAGTGGCACAAGAGGCTGGTTCAGGCATCAGATCCACAACACCAATCCAAGTGTCCACCAACCCAATGTACAACGATGTAATGAATGTTATTCAGCCACAAAGAGAGATGAAGTTGGGGCATATGCTATAACAGGGTCAAACCTGAAACTATGATGGTGAGCAAAATCAACAGGGCAAAAAACAAATATTGTATTCACATGAAGTATTAAAAATAACCAAATGCACAGAGATCAGTGTTTATTAGCAGCTACCAGGGCCTGGGGGAGGCAGGAATGGGGAACAATTGGTTATAGGGCACTGAATTTATTTAGACAGATGAAAAACATTTGAAAATGAACAGCAGTGAAGACCACACACATGGTAAGTACTGTTAATATCACTGAACTGCACACTTAAATAGCAGATATTCTTATACATTTTGACTTAATAAAACAAAACCCACATATTTAGCTAAACCTAATTTAACATGTTTTTCTTGTTGGGTAGAGTTGGCTCAACTTATAGTCTACCTTATGTACAACCAAATGAAGCCATCCTCATAACTGTTGGGGTCCATGGTACTTTCACTATTCTGTGCCAACACCACCCTTCCAACACATCAATTCTTCTGCAGTCTTCCTTACTCAGTGTCCAGCTCTCACACACGTGAAGCGTGAATCCACTCACACTGCCTACTCCTTGCAAGCTGCCCACTGCCATTAGTCGACTTGGACTCAGCAACGCTAGTTAGGGTCTGAGGGTGTAAATCTTTATGGGAGCAGAGGGCCTCTTCTTTCTCCTATGGAGCGGCTGGTGGGTTTGAAGTAACCATTTGAGTTCAGTAGTCCAATGCTTTTATGCCTGAGCCGCTGGCGGTCCTTCAGGTTTAGCTAGGGCACACACACCTCAGTCCTCAAGACATCTGTGCTCTTCAGAACTTTAAAAAGGCCTCTTATAGCAGATTTACTAAATGCAATACACTTTTTGGGATGGCTACTTCTCTGAGCATTGATTATCTTATTGGAAGAGATTAGTCCCTGGAGAAGAACCCCATGCTGGCTAAAGTGGAAGGCCAGTGAAAAAGAGGAAGACACACATCCACAAGATGATGAATCCAAGTAAAACGAAATTCCTGACAAACCTGATCTTTCATCCATGTATCATGATGCTGGTGATTAGTCCAGCTGTGAGGATTTGGGGCTTCTGTGCCTTGACTTGTAATCCACAATGAAAGCTGCAACCCTCAATCTTCAACAGCATGTTGGGCTCGGCCGCCCGTGTATTGCAGGTTGTTAATAAACCTTCCTCCAACCTGATGCCACACTCTTCTTCCTGTCATCCAGGTCCTCAGAGTCTGACTAAGCACACAGGTGAAACGCATAGATGGTGAGAGGATTCAGCCCTGACACACAACTTTCTTGATTGTAATCCACCCAGCATCCCCTTGCTCTGCCCATACAGATGCCTCTTTTGGTTCCATGTGAAAAGGCTTCTTCCCAATGTTATCTGGTTTGTTGTGAAACACACAGAAGAATGCCTCTGCACAGTCAATAAAACACAAGTATGCATCTTTCTGATAGTCTCTGCTTTGAGC